AAAATTATAAATGTATGTAATTAAAACAACACATTCCATTCCAATTCAATTCTATCATTAATATTAATATTCATTAAAGTCTTAACTTCTTTAACATTACTTTTCAATTAAATATCATACTTCTATGGGAACAATTATAAGCTTTCCATAATTAATTCCCCCCCTTCACTTATATTTTATAAAACATTAACTAATTAAAATGTTCCCATTCCTTCCTAATTCAATTTTCTCATTTATTTTATTTCACTTATTTTATTAACAAACATTTCACTAATTTACACTAACTATTTTATCCCTCATTTTAATCATACATGGTTTCCAATTTTCTAAAGTTATTTCTATTACTAATATAACAATACAATCTTATGTACCTTTACAGAATCCCTTTTTCAGTTAGATTTTCACCCATTATCTCTAAATAGGTCCTGTTTATATCTTGCTCCGGTTCTTTGTAACTTCTTTTCCTTTCCTTCTTCCCTCTCTTCTTCTCTCTCCCCTTTTTACCCCCTTGTCTCTCTACCTCTATTTCTCTCTTCTGTATTCCCCTTTTCTGTTGCTTTCCAGTATTATACTTATTTTTTGAATTATTTTTCTTTTCTTTGGTTGTTTTTTTAAGTCTTAAATTCTCCATTCTCTTTCCCCCCTTTCCTTTTTCTTCCCCACATAAAATTACTTGTTCATTAAAGATGGCTTCTTCTTTGTCCCAGTCTTCTTGTTTTGCAGATGTTTCTCGTTGTTTCTCATAGTTCCAAATCTCCATTTCTAAGAATTGAAAAACGAAGCCAAAAGAACCCTTCCCTTCTTGTGCATCTTCTTTGTACTTTTTAAGTTCCATTTTCAATTCATCCAGAAGTGGTGCCATTGTATAAATTTTTAAACAACCACCTGATTAATTTTAGTCATTCAAATGTAATAAACAAGAATCCAAAGATCACCAAATAATCCAAATACACGCAAGCTGTTTCTTTTTGCTCTTTTTTTTCACTTTCTCTTCCTGGGGTTACTGTTTAGTTATGAAGTTTCAGTTAAAATGTATCTTTTAGAAGTCTTGTTGAAGTTTTACTGTAGATTCTTTTTAATTCCAGGCAGTCTCCTCCCTCTTCCAGATCCTGCCCTTATTCTTTTTCTCTCCCTTCCTGCTTATGAAAAAAAAAATTTAGTGTCCAGAAATCTTTATTATCCCTTTGACATTTTGTTTTATTTTCAGCTTAATTGCCTATTGATGTCAAAGCAGATTTTTCCGATTTCTTATTTAAGTCTCTTAGTTGTCAGTATAGGGAAGGAGAGAGAGAGAGAAAAAAAACCCAAACCTTTCCCTTTTCACTTTCCTTCTCTGCTTCCGACTCTTCTTTGGGAGCGATGTTATTTTTTTGTAAGTTTAAATTCCAGGGTACCTTAGTTGTTGCTTTTACAATTTAACCCGGTCAGCCAAAACTTTCACTTCTTATCTTCCTCCTGCACATTCTTTTCCGGTTGAGTTCTTCTTTGTGGTGGCCATTTCTGACCACCGCTGCAACCGCCTTCGGGAAAGGGAGTAATGGCCAGCTGAGGAGGAGAGATGCGGCTCTCCTCGACCCTACTGGTGGTCTCCCCCCTCTTCACCACCTCTACGGGGTGGTTTAGCCCTGAAACTAGCTGGCTCGGGGCGCTCCAGCGGCGAGCCCAGACCAAAGCCGCGCACGATCGTGGATTTCTTTCTGTCGCCAAAGAGACTTCAAACCGGAACCATCTAAACTTTTCTTATGCTTATGAAACACTAGACTTTTTTCATAATTAACAGAAAAACAACTGTCTAAACAATAACTGAAAATTGTTAATCTTCCAAGGTTCAGTGGAAATGAATTCATCTATGGAAAGTAAGACAATTTGCATATTTGGAACAAGCTGAATAAAAATACTTGCAAAAAGATGGAAAAGTATGGGAGTTGTATTCAGTCTTGTCAGATTCCTGAATGACAGAAACATCCGTATCTAATTCCAAATGCAATACCTTATGCAGTGTTTTAATCAGAAGATGAATGGATTTAACAGTATTACATTACGTTTAGCCGAAACTTACTTTTAAATAAGTAAAAGCAACATTAGATCTCCTCCTATTCTTTTACAGCACACATATTTCTCCTGCTGAATCTGCAAATGAAATTTGCAGCTGGTTTTTAATAAGTCCAGAGAATTTTCACTTAGCCTTTAAGCATTATTCATTTCATCTAAGTTTTGGATAAATAATGTTTTATTTTGTTATTCATAAGTAATGCGAACTCAGGCACAGTATCTTAGAATCGGAAGCTGTATTAAGCAAGAATGACTTCTGTACATATTATATATTGCACAGCAAAGTCAATGAAAATGTTTAGAGTATGGTTTCTATAAATTATGCCAACAAATCAGTGGGAATACAGAGAATGCAAAGAAAGGGGAACTCAGAAATTAAATCTTTACTTATATTTTTTAAAAGTGTGTTTCCCCCCCTTTTTTTCTTTTTCTTCTATTTTAAACTCTACCACAGTAGAGATATGGTCACTAAACTCACACATTTATACTTTTTTATCATTATTACTATAGAACCTGTTATATTGAATAATAATTGATATTCTTCTTGAAAATATATCTTTTTAAAATAAAAGGATCACAATAAGACTAAATAAAAAACAGTCACGCTACATCAAATTAAAACATTGATGTACCTTGATGGAAATGAATATACAATTCAATATTTGTGTGTGTGTGTGTCCATGTGCGCGCCTGTGTGTGTGTGTGTGTGTGTGTCTGTATTATTGGTAAATAAAGTTTTTTTTTAACAGGAAGGAAGAGTTACAGAATAGAATAATAATAGAGTTGGAAGGGACCTTGTAGGTGATCTAGTCCAACCCCTGCTCAAGCAGGAGACCTTATACCATTTCTGACAAGTGGTTGTTTGGTCTCTTCTTGAAAGTCTCAAGTGATGAAGCTCCCACAACTTCCGAAGGCAAGCTGTACCATTGGTTGATTGTTCTCACTGTCAGAAAATTTCCCCTTATTTCTAGGTTGAATCTCTCCTTCTTCAGTTTCCATCCATTGTTCCTTGTCTGGCCTTCAGGTGCTTTGGAAAATAGGTTGACCCCCTCCTCTCTGTGACAGACCTTCAAATATTGGAACACTGCTATTATGTCACTCCTGGTCCCAGTTCTTGCAACCGTTCTTGATATGTTTTAGCCTCCAGGCCCCTAATCATCTTTATTGCTCCTCTCTGCACTCTTTCCACAGTCTCAACACCTTTTTCTATAGTATTCTAGGTGTAGTCTTACTAAGGCTTCATAAAGTGGTATTAGTACCTTACCTGATCTTGACTCAATCCCTCTGTTAACACAAGTTAGGATCGCATTAGCTTTTTCGGCTGCCGCTGCACATTGTTGTCTCATATTTAATTGATTGTCCACTAAGACTCCAAGATCCCTCTCATAGTTACTGCTATAAGTCAGGTTTCACTTAATCTATATGTGTATTTTTGGTTTTTCTTGGCTAAGTCTTACGACTACTTTTCTGCACATTGCATTTCATTTTGTAAAGAGGGAAGGAAGGAGAAAGAAAGAAAAAAAGAAAAAAAAGAAAAAAAGAAAAAAAAGAAAGAAAGAGAAAGAAAGAAAGAAAGAAAGAAAGAAAGAAAGAAAGAAAGAAAGAAAGAAAGAAAGAAAGAAAGAAAGAAAGAAAGAAAGAAAAAGAAAAAACGGTATTAGTTATGAACTTTTTGACAATATAAAAAACAAACATTTCTTTAAAAAGCAATTTCTGAGTAAATATGAGCAAATCCTGTATTTGGTATGACTCTACATGCTGAGAAGACTCACTAGCAGGAGTCCAATTTTTGTTTCAGAAAAGAGCTCCATCTATATAATCTCATTATACAAAGACAGAATGGGTGAAAACCAAATTGGGTCTTTGTAATCCATCCAATATTGTTAGGAAGGTAGACGTAGCTCCTAGATATTTTCTGATTTGCTGGCTAGAACCAAGTCAACACTGATAGAGCATTTTTTGCAAAACTACAGTTAATCTCCCCTAACTTTTCCCCTGCATTCTATAAAACCAATTATAAGTATTCAGAACAATAGAAGAAAGAACAAGATGTCACATCTTAACATCCAAATACAAGGGCCAAAATATCCCTTTTTGACTATCTACCACACTGCAAAAGATATGTGCTAAAATCCCAAAAAGAGGGCATAAATAACTAGGTTAGCTATACTGATTGTATTTGTTTTATTTCTAGTTTTGAATTGTGAGTGTAATTGTTGTTGTTTTCTTTATGTTTCCTTTTTCTGAATAAATTCCTTTATATAGCTAAAATAATTTTATAAGGCAATTTCTTATTAAAACTTTCCTATGTTGAAGATTGCACAACTTTAAAACCACCACTAAGCAAGAAGTTGCTGAATTCGCATACATCAAAAGGTTTCAGTTGTTAACACATTACAACTGTTACTTGAAAAGGTACTTGCAATTTGTCTCACATATAATTTGCTTAATCAACCTACCTTCCCTTCCCTTCCCTACAATCCCAATTTAAATACTATATTTGTTTAATCACTTTATACATCTGACAGTGAGCTGCAACTTATAAAAGCACATGCCTTCAAATAAAATGTGTTAGAAAAGATGCTGTCTCCTGATTTTTGCCACCTTATACAAACTTGGCTGTGCTTTTATAATTGCTATGCTTTGTATTCAGGATTGGCTCAATAGGTTTTACTAAGTTCTGCATTTGGGGCAGTAAGATCCCCAAACCTTTTCCTTTCTGTTTACTAAAAGCTGAGCTGAACAGAGCTGTTCTGGGTAAAGGGCCCAACTTCACCCACCCCTGGCTCTACTGAAGTTAGAAGTCTGACCTAACTGGTAACAGCCTATCAAAAGTACCTTTTATTGGGAACTTTCTGGAAGAAGAAGAGAGGGTCTGCCAAAGAGATTTAAATTCTCACCACCCATTTAGAAGGGAATGATATATCTTCCTATCTCTTTTTCTGCAGCTATCTGTCGCTACCCCCTAGGTATGTCCGGTGGGCACATTCCTGACGAAGACATTTCTGCTTCAAGCCAATGGTCAGAATCCACAGCAGCCAAGTATGGAAGGTAAGAACAATTGGAATCTGGGTGCCTTAGCCAGCTAGATTGATGTGCCATTTTTCCTGCGGCTATAAATGTCTCTAGTTAATTCAGAACTTTTACAATATAGTATCCAGAGAAGTAGTTAGGTTTAGGGATATGATAAGAAATTAGCATGGCTGGGCCGATGACTACTGGTATCCATGGCTTAGCCCCATCAACAACTATATAGATTTTTATCAAAAGCAAAAGTTATCTTTATAACTATATAGATTTTTAGCAAAAGTTATCTTTTGCTTTAAATTTTTGAATATTGTAAATAAAAATGTAGCCATTGATTATCAGCATCATCCTGAATGAAGGATTTTGTTTTCTGAGCTATAAAAAAGTATTTGTAATTTTGGGATGCCTTAGTCCTCTTTACGCACATTCCGATAGATGCTGGACATGAACATCAAACAATGTGGCCTTAGATACATTTTGAGGAACCCGACAAACCCTGTGTCCTAGTTAATTTTATTTTGATTAAGTACTTTCAGGAACAAATGTAACGATACAACAGAAAGCGCCAATTTCAACATATAGTTAGCATTTCATACTTCATCGGCTTCAGTTTCTTATTGCATACTTAGATCTGGGCCTTCACATGTTGTTTTAGAGAGTTCAGCTAATTTAGTTTAAGAACCTAAAAAACTCATTATGCTGACTCCTGAGTTGTCTGCATTTTTCTGCAAGTAGCTGGAATAAGCTAAAAACCATTCAGTGCATGCATTTGGACAACATACAATAATTGGACCTCAGGATATCCTTGTAGTTCTAGACTTGTCAGTCAATCTCACATTTCAAACTAGGGTTTTAGTTCCCAATCTTGTCATGTTCCTTCCATCAACAACATCATTGCCATGAATTCATGCTGAATGGGAATTGTGAAGCTTGGATCATATGTGCCAGGGACACAAAAGCACTGAGAAAAAAATGTTCTGGAGCCTAGCTCTTCAGATAATTGGGCAACAAGATAGTACAACATAATTGGTAATGCATAAAGGTTTGAAAGATAAAGGTATAGCTTTGGGACGATGGACCACAATAGCCATTTCCCCCCACCCTTCTGCTTTTCCTTAGGCTAGGATCAGAAGATGGTGATGGTGCCTGGTGCCCTGAAGTCCCTGTGGAACCTGACGATCTCAAAGAGTTCCTGGAGGTTGATTTACACGAGTTGCATTTTATCACCTTAGTAGGGACACAAGGCCGGCATGCAGGAGGCCATGGCAATGAATTTGCTCCAATGTACAAAATTAATTACAGCCGGGATGGCACCCGGTGGATTTCTTGGCAAAACAGGCATGGAAGTCAGGTAAGAAAGGAAGAGGAGGGGATTGTGATGTTATTGTTATTGTCCATTGTTAAACATGAAACATCTGGTTTGTATTTAAAGACTGAATTGTTTTTAGGCTTTATTTATTTATTTTCTGTCTCTAAATGGGAGGCAACCTATCCGATTCTGAAGACTGTCTCTAAAGAAGGCAGAGCTATTGCCAGCATAAAATGCATACTAGCTGGTATCAATAGTTTCTGGTATCAAATGGCTGTGATTTTCAAGAAATACTAGCAATTGATGAACTTGGATGACATGTTTAAACGTTCTGTTTTTGAATGCACAATGTCCATAATTTCCACTGTGAGTTCTACAATAAAAACTCTGGACTGATCTGTGATCATTATTAACTGAAAGTATCTGTGAGCAGCTGTTTGAGTTAGCCCTATAAAGGATAGGCTTAAAGAATGTATGGCGGTGCTTAACTAGTGTGTCCAAAATTTATGCAAATTGTTCATTGTCAACTTCGAAATGACTTCGGCCAAAGCCATATTTACTTTCACTTCGTTTCTTAGTTGCCACTCTTTGGGGGGAGGGGGGAAGTGAGAGACGACTGGAATGCAAGGCCTGAGTCAACTAGACAAAACATCCACCAGAAACAGTGTGTGAACCAAGGTCATGGCAATGAACATCTGCTGAGACCGATGGGGAGCTACTGCTCGACTGATTGGTTAACGTGACCCAGGGCACCTGAGGGGGGTGGGAATTTTCTATTCCTTCTATTCCTTATTATTCTGAGGCGTGGGAATAACCCAGAGCTAGCTTCAACTTTCTTTCTTTCTTTTTTTATTTTTTTAATAAATTTTTATTAAACAAAAAACATTTAAAAACAGTGAACGTGGTGTAATCATCCTGACATACCTATTTGTTATACATAACTATTGCAGATGGCAAATAACACATATTTACATAATATATACATTTATATATTCCAACAATTCTCTATATTCCTAATCTGTTATCTTAACAACCTTATCTTATTTTAGTTTTGATTTTAAGTCCTTCCTTTCCCCCAACCAATGGTAAAATTTATCTCATACTTTATAATATTCAGTCTCGCCTTTATTTTATAATTCCAACATTAGTTTATCCATTTTTCGCATGTCCATATCTTTTTAATTATCTCCGCTTCGTTGGGAATTTCCTTGAGTTTCCAGTTTTGAGCATAGACTAGTCTTGTAGCTGTAATCATGTGTATTATTAGATACATCATTTTTTTATTGGATCTCTCTATGTTGATTCCCAATAGAAAGAGTTCCAGTTTATATTTGAGTTTGATTTCACCCATTTCCTCTAACCAACTATGAATTTTATGCCAAAAATCCTGGGCTTTCCATATTATTATTTCCATATTATTTCCATATTATAATAGTCCACCATATTATGATAATACGATCCATTTTCCTGGGAGCATTTCCAACAAATAGGAGATAAATTTGGATACATTTTAGCTAATTTTATTGGAGGGATGTGCCACCTGTAAAACATTTTGTATAAATTTTCTTTGTACAATTTGGCCAATGTTATTTTTTTTTTATTTCTCTCCCATAGAATTTGCCATTTGTCCAAATTAATACTTTCTAAGTGCTGATACGATGTATTCAATAAAAGCTCTTTCAAGCCTGAATGGAGCTTCCGAGTCCTGATTCAATTGGGTTCAGTGCCAAAGAACGGACAACTTACTTTGATCTCAAGTTGAACTTTCATCATTGAGGAGGAAATGTTTTTAGAGGAGATTCAAAAAAGTCAAGATGGTATCATGGGCAGAAGAAATAACCTTGAGGTATAGGAGGAAGAGCAGCAATCAAGACGAGGCCCACTTTTTTCTGCCCTAGACTCAAATCAAAGAAATCTGAGTCCAGAACAGAAATATACACTGACAGAGCATCTCAGACAAGACCTTTCCTAATTTTCACCAAGATAAACAGAGGGAGGGAGAAAATATATTCAGACTTGTGAGATTCTGTTACATTATAATAAAAGTAGGATTAGTATGCATAATTCCCTAGACTAGTCAGTCTCAAAGGGCTAACAGATGGTGACTAGAAGCAGGTGATCAAAGTTATGCCCTGTTTGCGCATGTAAAAAGTCAGGGCACCATCTTGACTTTTCTCTCTCTCTTACACACATACATACACACACACACACACACACACCATTTTCAGACATTTCTGCCATCCCCACTTCAAAGTAGAAAGGGAGCCTGGTCGGATCCAAATGTTAATTCATATAATATGTTTGTGTTGACTTATGTTGCCTGTTTCTTTTTGTGGTTAGTAGTTTGTTTTATTCACATTCAACTGTTACTATTCTAGCAGTGGGAATTATAGATCTGCAAAATGAAAACAGCCTAATTTTCACCATGGTAGAAAACCTATAACTTAACCATTCCACTGCAGACCACAGAAATTATTTGACTATATGGTTTAACAAAACTCCTGCCCATAAAATGCTTAATAGAAAAGATGCAGGATAATTTCTTTGATCCAAATTACTTTTTAGCTTCTGTTTCCTTCATAATTAAAGAACTATAGAGAAGAACAGGCAATATTTAAGAAAATGGTGCAGGATAGAAGCAGATAATCTAGTATTCTCTAGTTATTTTAGATATCAGCTCTCATCAAATGTGATCACTATGAACAATGGGAGATGAGGTCTAAGTATCTCATGGGCACCAAGTTCTTGCAGAACACTGGAGTTAAAAAAAAAAGTGGGGTGTGGATTTTATTAATTGAGCAATCTCCTGGTGCCTGTAGTTAAAAAAATATTCCGATTAATCATGGTCTCCTAATGTGCAATCTGGTCTTTCTGCATGGCAAGACCAAGTTATAATGGATTGTCAACATTTTGATAAAGCTGATAATATATCCCAAAACTGGAAAGTGATCCAGTTCATATGTAATGCTAAGAAAATATTTATTTAATCTATGCTTGTGAAAAAGTCATAGTAATTCTATATTTTGGATATCTTATGCAAAAACCTGGCTCCCTTGACAGGGCCATAATTTTGGGAGAGAGAGAAAAATGACTAGCATCTGCAAGACTGGTGATCTCAGCTACAGCAGCGATGGATGCGCTGTAGGAAGGATGTGAAGAGTCAGGTTTGAAGACATATTGTTTTGGAGGAGGTCAATCTATGTGGTCACAGAGTCAACACCAATTTGCTGGCATATAATCCGGCTATATATATTCTTATACACACACACTTATATTAATATATAAAAATCCGAGTCACTATATTATATAGGGACACTAAAGGGCAACTGCAGTGTATATCATGGAGGTTTGGCAAGATGATAGAGGAGTTCTACAACTACTGGTCAAAATAGTGAGCAAAGGCTAGTTAGGGTTTAATTTTCCATCTCCCTTTCCAGACTTCTCTCTAGGCTTTTGCTGCTGTTAATATATATGTGCCTTATGAATGGTTGGACAAAGATGTATTGGCTGTCCTAATTTTTATAAGCTCTGGCAGAGCTGACACAGCAAAGTCACAGTGTATTTAAAAAAAAATGCTTTGCTCTGGTTTCAAGTAAATTGTGGCAAAATAAAACAAAAATGGCTCAATTTCTTTAAAACTAGCCAATATTGCATGACTGTGGGTCCAGACTGGAACCAGCTGCTCATATGGAAATGCCCTGAACTGAACCAAATAGAAATATGCTACATACATATTTACATACATACATACATCTTCATACATATTTAGATGATACTTGATAAGTTAGCATGACTAAATTCCTTCTGCTCCTGCCCACTGGCTAATAACCTTCTTCTCTGCCTTTCATTTCCTTTTCTTCTCCTCAGGTACTTGAAGGAAACACTAATCCATATGACATTGTCCTCAAGGACCTGGAGCCACCTATTATTGGGCGATTCATTCGCTTCATCCCTGTGACTGATCACTCTACAAATGTGTGTCTCAGAGTCGAGCTGTATGGTTGTGTTTGGTTGGGTAAGCACAACAACTTTTGAAGAGGATTCATGCTGAAAGAATATTTCAGTCAGGGAACAGCAGATGGATAAAGGTTCAAAAGTCCTAAGGCTCAAATTGTCAATAGGATAAAAGATGCAAAAGGTTGATGTCTATGGATGGAGATGTGCCTCCAATTGTCTAGTGTTACTCTACCTCAGCAAACTTTAAGGTGTGTGGATGTTAACTCTCAACTGAAGTCCACACATCTTAAAGTTGCTGAGGTTGAGAAACACTGATCTGGAAAATCAAGCCTACTCTCTGACTGCATGAAATGCAACCTTCCTATCCAGAGATAAGCATAAGAAAATATTGTTCTATAAGCTTAAACAGAAGTTGATTTTTACAGATAGTCTTGATTTGCCCAGGCAGAACCTGCTAGAGGGTTTTTGGATTTTTGTGTGTATGTGTGTGTGTGTGTGTGTGTGTGTGTGATGTTGGAGTAGATCCCGTTGCCACCCCTGGATATGCTAGTAACATAATACATATTGGAGCTGTGGAATGAAATTAGACTTATATTTGCTAGGAAATATACTCTGATTTCTGTTTTTATTTGATGTGCTTCTTAATCATTGATAACAGAGTATTGACCGACACTAGATTCTTGGGAGAGTTTTTCTTTTTTTTCCTATTAAGTGTCTTGCAATTGGATTGGTACAGGAAAAATACAAATTGAAGATTTTGTACTAGAACATTGTAACACCACTCTATCACTATAGCAATATCTAGTCTATGTTAATGTTAGATCATCATTGCAGTGATTGCTTGAAACTCTATTTTGCTCGTGCCCAAATCCTAATTCTTTTATATTAGTCCCAATGGTGCTTTTCCAAAAGGCTGCTGGACTTTCTTGGTTTTTTCTTTGAAAACATTTTGTTTCTCATCCAAAAAGCTTTTTCAATGCTAAAGAAGTATGTGAAATGGAAACAATTTAAAAGGCAGAAAACAAATGTATTATCTCTGTGCAGAGGCTGGATTTATTAAATTATGCAAAAAAGAAAGAGGGTCCAGATAAATTTGAAATAAGATTTTGGAATTAATTATAAAGAATCCTTCCCATAGGAAAACTCAATATGATAAAAAATTTTAAAATTGGGCACTAGAGGGAACTAAAGATTACAATTAAAGGAGAAGAACATTTATACTTCACTTACAATTACAAAATGAAGCAAATATTTCAACTGGATGTATTGAATGATATTTTTGAAGAATTTTATTAGTTTTTACTATTGTAATTACAATTTTTAATAAAATGACTATTAAAAGCGTTTCAGGCAGCTGAAGGAGGCCTTAATAAATACATTAAGCATTACACATTAATTGATAAGGTACTTGTAATCTGTCTTGCATCTCACCTATATTTTATAACTATGCTATTTTCCCTTCCTTCTCTCCCACCCCCCCTCAATTTAAACATATATCAGTCTAGCCATTTTGTGCATCTAAAGAAGTAAATGTGTTAGTTGCAAAAAAGAAGCAACAAAAGTAACTCTCCTTCTATTCCTTTACAGATGGGTTGGTTTCATATAACACTCCAGCAGGGCAACAATTAGTTCTACCCGATGGCAACATGATTTACTTGAATGATTCAATCTATGATGGTTACAGGTGAGTTCTCTATTCATATGTCCAATGAGGGAGAGGGAAAACTTTTTAGACCTTATTAATGCTTGAGCAAAATTGTCCAGTGTTCAAATGAGAACAATAGGAATAAAATATAAAATGTAACTACAGTATTTGGCAGAAGAGTTTGGCTTTCTGGCACCTTCATATACTTTTGATGATTAGGGAAGAGATCTTGTGTTCAGTGCAACCATCCTTATTTCCAAATGTGCATCTTATATGAGCAATAGTGTGTAGGGCTTGGGTTTGCTGACCAGAAGAATAATAATAAAAAGCATCTCAAAAGAGATGCTTCTTTGGCTTTTCGCTGTTATTCTTGTTAACTTCATTGCTTTACTCTTGGCATTGTTATTTGAATTTCCCATCTTCCTTTGGGTAAAATAATTGTCTCTTGTATCTGGAATACAAAAATCTTATCACTAAAGTAACCCAGAGGCAAGAAATAAGTCTTTTAATGAACTATTACAGCTGGTTTTCCCAGGATTTAACAAATTATTCATCGCTGAAGAATATGCTAATATACTGACCAGTAGCTGCAATTAAAAAATTGTTAATTGTTAAGGTATTTTAAGACACTAAGTCTAATCCTTCGTAGCTGAATACATTTTTAGAATAGAATAGAATTGAATTCTTTATTGGCCAAGTGTGATTGGACACATAAGGAATATGTTTTGGTACATATGCTCTCAAGATACATATGTACATAGATACATACATACGTACGTATGTACGTACATAAATACAGACATTTATTATTTCTTGTTAGCATATCTAAAGCTAATCATTGACAGATGTTTGAATTTCCAAAAAACGTTTGTAGCAGCTTTGTCATGTGAAGACTTGTGAGTAGCTGCAGTTGAAATCAAAACTTACTAAGTTTAATGCGGACAAAGAAGTGCTGTTTGATCTGGGAATTGGCTCCCTCTGTCTTAATCTAAATGGACTTTCCACTAAGGATTCCATGCTTCAGCTTCTGCTAAATCAGCCTACCACTCCATCCATTTTAATTGTGGTTGGAAAAAATCCCCTTTTGCTGCCAGTTTTGGACAAACTGATTTTGTGGAAATTCAGTAAGGAAATGCTAATCTTGTCCTCTTCTTTTCCTTCTCATATGACTGACATCAGCATGACAGAAGGATTAGGACAGCTAACAGATGGGGTTTCTGGCTTGGATGATTTCAGCCAGAGCCACGAATATCATGTATGGCCTGGTTATGACTATGTTGGTTGGAGCAATGAAAGCACCACAAATGGACATGTGGAAATCACCTTTGAATTTGACCGAATCAGAAATTTCACCACCATGAAGGTTAGTTGTCAAAATTGAGGCTGCATTCAGAATTCCTTTTAGGTTGCAAACTAAATATTATTTAGAGTGCATTGGAGAGTTGAGGGATCTTCTCTATCCAAAAATGGTACCTATCTTTTCTCTGTATAGTGAATTTTGTTTATGTGCAATTAAAAGAAATAAAAACAAATGAAAGCAGAAAATTGTGAATTTGCTCACCCTGGCAACGTTCCTGTGAATTCAGAATATCTCATGAATTATTGGCATATTAGTGTGTTCACATAAGCATGAATACCAAGCTGAAATAGAGATGAATTGAAACCCCTGAGTTATATAAATTTGCTTTCCAAACTTGCTATTTCATAGACAGGCTGACTCTCAACTGGAAAGTAGGGGCATACTGTAGTATTCCAGCATATTTTATATTATATCATGGTTTTATATCATGGTTTCAGAAGTAAATAAATGTGACCAGTTTATAGAACATCTATCTCTATTACACAGGTTCACTGCAACAATATGTTTGCCAAAGGAGTAAAGATTTTCAAGGAGGTGCAGTGTTACTTCCGCTCTGATGCAACTGAATGGGAACCAAACACTGTCTCCTCATTACTGGTACTAGATGATGTCAATCCCAGTGCTCGCTTTGTTACAGTACCTCTTTTCCATCGGATGGCTAATGCCATCAAATGCCAGTTCTACTTTGCTGATACCTGGATGATGTTCAGTGAGATTACCTTCCAATCAGGTACGATGAAGGGAATTCAGGGTGTTAAAGGAAGAGTAATATACTGAAATCACTGTTAATACATTAATACACAAAAGGGGCAAAAATAGCCTCATCTAAGATGTTACTTATAAATAAACTCTGGAGATAAAGTTACAGATTATTTATCAAATTTCTATACCATCACCTACATGACTCTGGGTGGTTCATAAACAATGATGGACTTTATATTGGATTTTATGGGTCAGGGCTTACTGCAATGCTACTACTTAATGCCTTGTCAGCAGCATTTTCCCGCAAGATCTTTGGCCTTCTTAAGGAGACAAAATAGGAAAATGTTTTAGTCAATAATATAGACTAAAACAGTTTTTCCTTTTGAGTTGTAGAAAGAATTTGCTGAACTTGGCATTCCAATGCATGCAGGTCGGGCTGACATGCGTCACACTTGTTAGGCTTCCATAGATAGCAGTCATTGTTTTTATCAATGTTGATAGGAGATTTACTGTATATTTTTGCTTGCTGAGGCTTCTGTATTGCTTAATTCCCACAGGCTTTGAGCAGCTGGGGAAAAAAACATAACAGAGGGTTTAAAAATTTAGTTCCACAAAACATTCCCAATCAGCACACTATAACAGTGTCATCCACAAAGGTAGAATAAACCTTCACTTCCATACATGTTTTCCTGAACAGTCTTTGCAGTTCGATAAGATGAAAATGGAGTGGATATCTGGAAGTAAGCTGTTGCATAGAAAGGAGGCCATCACTGAGAAGGCTTGCTTTGGAGAGGGGGTCTCTGTAGATGGCATTACCTCTGAGGAGGAAAACCTTGTCAAACCTTCTCTTCCCAATTCAGCCTTTGTTGTTTCCAGAGCAGCCCCGTGGGCCAGATCCGGCCCCTGGGCCTTGAGTTTGACACCCCTGACTTATTGGGAAAGGAACCTGTCCCCTTTTTTGAAAAAGAATCTTATGTTCCGCTGGAAAAAAACTTAAACAAACCAACCTTTCCTTCCTGCCTTCCTTCCTTCCTTTCCTTCCTTCCATTTTAGTTCAATTTAATTCAATTTAATCTCAGAACAGTAATGCTGCTTCCAGTCTGTCAGAAGCTGAAACTTTAATGCTGATCACAGATATCAAAAGAATCTGAGGCAGATATTGTTTTTTTAGTTTTGCACGAGATCCTTTCTAAACCAGGCTTTGAACTGGTAATCATTGTATTTAAATTATATTGCCCCCCTCCTCTATTTCTTTGGCTCATTCATGATGGGCTAAGATAAATGCCTCACAGGCTGTGGCCATGTTGCAGACTGCAGGTTATACTCTTTAGGTCTGTTTATTTATAGTACTGCAAATTATGTGAAGTGGATCATGGTCTACCCACTACCACTGCCCTTAATGCATTTGTTGTAAAATCTAAATAGAACAGCTTTGACAGCTATATTTCTCTACGAAGGGAGAACCATCCAATTGGTGAGGCGTACCTCTTACCAGTTATGTATCTTTGATTATTTTCCATTGTAACTGTTCCTGGAGAAGTCAGACCTAGATGTGACCAATCATTCTCAATGGTTTGCCATAATTTACTTTATGTGAGGCTACTTTTGGAACCAGTCCAGAAATTTTGGTTTACAGTGTTGCTGCCAGATTCAGCTTGTCATTGTCTGATAATATGTTCTAGGTCAGGAGTGTCAAACTCAAGGCCCGTGGGCCTGATCCGCCCCGCTAAGATCTGGCCTATGGGGCCACTCTGGAAACAACAAAGGATCAGCCCATGGTGTCTCTACCAGCAAAAACGGAGCTTAGGAGGGCCACGTGTGGCTGCCCCAAGTTCTGTTTTCTCTGGAAGAGGGCTGCAGGAGGCCATCACAGCTGAAAATGGGCCCGGGGGGGCCACACGCACCCATCCAAAGCTCTGTTTTTCTGGTAAATGGCTACAAGAGGCCATTGTGGCAAAAAAACGGGGCCCAGGGTGGCACGTGTTTTCCTCCCAAGTTCCATTTTCTCTGCAATAGGGCTGCATTTTGCTGGCAGAGGGCTAGCAAAACAAACTGAAAGCAAAACAAACAGAGAAATTTTCCCCTTTTGCATTTGAGCATCCAAGAAGGGACAGACAAAGAAAAAGAAGGGAAGATGGGAAGAGAGCAAGGAAGGAAAAATAAGAAAAGAGGGGAAGGAAAAAGAAAGGAGAATGAACAGGAAAAAGGAAAAGGAAAAGGAAAGAAGGGAGGGAGGGAAGAAGAAAGGAAAATTATAGTGAGAGGGAGGGGGGTCTCAGGGAAATCCTACCTTAGCACTTGGCTACCATAGGTGTCCCCGACACAAGTGATCTCGAGCTGGCCATGCCCACCCTACCCACGCCCATTCCGTCCCTGAGGTCAAACAAAACCCCGATGCAATCCTCAATGAAATTGAGTTTGACACTCCTCTTCTAGGTCCATTATTATGGGTTTGTATGAGTGGTGGGATTCAGCCAGTTTGCAACAGTTCAACCGAACTGGTAACTAACTTTTTGTGCAGTTCAGCAAACTGGCTGAAAATAAAGTGCAAGAGAGGGTTTTAAAAAAACCCTTCTCTCTCCCTTCGGTTAATAGCTCCGGGCAGACAGCTAAGAATTACTTAACAGGCATACTTAGTTCCGATAAGAAAACTACAAGAATGCAGCTGGCACCTGCCTTGAATAAACAAAACAAACTGACAGTATTAGGGCAGGGAAATCCATCAATGATCCAACTAGGGATGGAATTAACCTCTTCCCTTCAGAAGGACAAGATTACAAATATTTTCATTTTATAAAAGGTATTAAATAACACCTCTGTGATCAGCTGATACTCCCTGGAGCTCCCCAATACCTTTTATAGCTGCTGCAGTGTTGGCTACTTCTTGTTTCTTCTGGGGGGGGGGAATCCCGGAGGGGACAATGATGCAGCTTTGTTAGGTATAACATTGATACCAAATATGGTTTGGGTGAATAAATATATAAAACTTAGATATCATGGTTTAAGTGCTTATCACTTTAAGCACAATGCAGCAGGCAATTAGCCGATTAAGGGTGCGGTTAGAAGTTACTATATAAGGAAGCATTAGAAGCTGGAAAGCTTACTGTGATCTGCTTGCTTGCTGGCTGTAACTGTGTGCTACTGTAACTGTGTCTTGCTGCGACTAACTGAGATTACTGACTGTGAGTGCCTGAGACTGAACTGTTATTGTTTGCTACTGTTTGCTGAATATCCAGCGTTTGTTTCTCTGGAGAGTGAAACCGGAGGAGGAGAAGATATCTTTATCGGCTGATAAAG